GTTAGTGAATAACATCAGTTTTTATAACCATTTCTTACTATGTGTCAGTAAATTGCTGTTATTTTAGCATGTGTGTTTGGCTCAGTGTTATTGTTTTAGGATTACTGATGAACTAATGTTGTTTGATTTGTATTAGTTATCTATTTTAGTTACAGTTGTAGTAATGTTGTAATTTTATTAGTATTTTATTATGTCTATATAGGTTTTTTATTAAGTTATTTCAGTACTTCAACATACAAAATGGAAATGAAATTATATATATATATATACTGTATATATTGAATGTATTTATATATATATACATGTATATGTGTGTAGCTGTACATACACACATGTAGTTGTTTTTTGGTGTCTGGCTCAGTGTTATGTTAGAATCATTATTATACGCATACCTTTTGTTCTTTTAATATTTTGAATTGTTTTTAGCTTTATTTATTTTTTTTTCATTTAAATATTTAGTTTTGAAATGTTGTTGTATGCATTTGTCATTTTTATTTAATCTCTTTTATTTTCTTAAATGTGTATATATATATATATATATATAGTATTTATAGAGTTTCAGCTTCTAGTTTTAATTACTTTTTCTTATTTGTAAGTCGCTTTGGATAAAAGCGTCTGCTAAATGACTAAAAGTAAAAGTAAAAGTAAAAAGCTTCATTTTCATTTTCAAGCGCAGTGGGCGCACTCACAGAAACACACGGCGGGGGGGTCTCTGTCTTGATCGAGACACAGATTTATAGTTTATGTACGACCTGGAAGTATTTATTCAGCTGTACGGAACATCGTTAGTCTACGTAACTTTTGACCTGTAGTGTATATTGCTAGAAAATATTTCTATTTTAAATAAATGCTCTTCTTTTTTACTTATTATTAATCAAAGAATCCTGAAAAAAAAAGTATCACGGGTTCCCAAAAAAAAATATTGAGCCGCACTGATAATAAATCAGCATATTATACTGATTTCTGAAGATCATGTGACACTGAAGACTGGAGTAATGATGCTGAAAATACAGATTTGATCACAGAAATAAATTACAGTTTAACAGATATTAAAATAGAAACACGTTATTTTACATCATAATAATATTTCACAATATTACATTTTTTCCTGCATTTTTTTATCAAATAAATGCAGCCTCGGTGATCAGAAATTCCTTTAAAAAAACATTAAAAATCGTTCTGATCCCAATATTTTGACCGGTAGTGTATATATATATATATTAATGTAGAACAGTGATATAAATGAAAACAGTGGTGGTGTATTGGGGTTTTATGTAGTATATTGATCCATATAAAGACATTATTGGTGATATATTGAATAACACACATAGATACAGTATGTGTAGTGTACTGCAGTATGTATAAGTACAGTATGTGTTGTGTACTGCAGTATGCATAAGTACAGTATGTGTTGTGTACTGCAGTATGTATAAGTACAGTATGTGTTGTGTACTGCAGTATGTATAAGTACAGTATGTGAAGTATAGATCAGTTTATAGAGTAATAATACGAGCTGACGCAACCCTGCAGTCATTATGCATCATCTTCATCATCTTCAAACTCACGGATCGACATCTGAGCGACTCCCTCGTCCGCCATAGCACGCTCTGTAGGCCGCAGAAGAGCTGAGTCCGGTTCGGTTCGGTTCGGAGTAGTTTTGAGGGAAATGCTCGGTTCCGTCGTCTTGCTTCCTGTCACTACACACACTCGCACGAGCCGCTGGCGACGCATGCGCGAGCCGTTCAGCGCTGCGCTTCAGCCGGGGATTGGCCCGTTTGCAAGATGACGCTATTTCGGGGAAGCTGATTGGTTGGGGTGAGATGAGGGGGCGGGAGTTTGAATAAGGGCGAGTAGAATTGGTTGTTTTCTGACGTCCGTCAGTCACTAAACCTGTCTCTGCACAAACATTACATAATATTCAGGCAGCATTTTTTTTTCTTCATAATTTTAAGTGTTAATTTTTAAAAGCTGCATGAACTATATTTTTGAAATAGAAAGCATATTTAGTTTCAACCTTCATATACCAAATGTGTATTAAAAAATGTTTTTCCGGTGCATGAAAACACACTAACAAGCTTACATTTAAGCAAATCCAAATGTGGATAGCCTACTACAGATCAAAACAGCATTTATAATGATTTAATAATGCTTAATTTTATGCATAATATAAATATATATATATATATGTCTGTATTAACTTATATACAGTGTTTATGCGTTATAGACAACAAATAAAGTGTTTCTTCAAATGTATTTTCTTAATAATAATAAATAAAAAGAAAACAAATAGAATACAAAAAGATTAGAAAAGCTAGTGTCTATGTATGTATATATATATATATATATACTGTATATACACACACAAAATAGCCAAAAATATATTGGAAGAAAACTTATTTATGCAAATATATTTATAAACATATTTTAGAAAACTTGGCCATTTTTGTATATTTTGATATATATCTAAAAATATTTTATTTTATTTATGTATTTATTTGTATATTTTATTTATGTTTTGCTGCTGCATGTGTATCCAAAACTCTCAGAAGATTTTTGCTGATACCCAAAACCAAATAATAAACAAAAATGTACCCAGAATTTTCTCTGAGGTTGACTAAAGGAACTAAAGGAGAGGAAAAAGCAGGAGACCATGTGATGATTCTAAAAAACGAGCAGGGTTTATTTAATCATTTTAGCTACGTATGTTTCAATGCTCAGACTGTGCCTGAAATTCATCCTGTACTTCATCTGGACTTCGTCTTGTACTTCATCTGACCAGAGCAAATTCAACAAGCGCTATTATACCAAAGCAAAATCACTGCTTCACAACATTGTCCTGTGATGTTAAAATCCACCTTTAAAATGGAGACAATATCTCTTGAAACCTCACAATCATAAGATTAAACAACAATCAGAACTAGAGCAAGAGGAAAATAGTAAGTAATATAACAACACACATGCAGGCTGTATGATAAAACATCAAATACATGATTAGAAAACTTCAGGTACTATAAAACACCAAAGTATTTATTAAACAAATGTGCAGATGTGTTCATTCAGTACTGAATGTGTGTGTTTTGTGTATGTAATCTAC